CGAAATTGAGCAATTTCGGAACAAACTTCGCTGACACACGTCTCATGTCTAAAACACTCATCAAAATTGATTGGCACGAACCAAATGAGATGCTAATATCATCAGCAATTTCTCTAATGGTAATTCGACGATTTCCCAACACTATTTTCTTCACTTCTTCAACATTCTCATCAGTTGTTGATGTGCTGGGGCGTCCAGAACGAGGTTCGTCGTCGGTGTCTTCTCGGCCTTCTTGGAAGAGTTTATACCACTTGTAAACATTTTTTTGGCTTAAAGTAGACTCACCGTATGCCACTTTAAGCATTTCAAGTGTTTTGGAACATCTGATTCCATTTTTCACACAAAATTTAATGCAAACTCTTTGATCCATGTTTTTAGACAGCAGTAAATCGTAGGGCACGCAAAACACTTCTAACCTTGATGCCTCTCACAAACAAACCAAACATACTACAAAGCTGAAATTTGGAACGTATGTTCCAGACGAGTGTACCGACATAACCAAATAAAAAAGTCGAAGATCGAACGGACGTAGCCCGCTAAATTTCAAAATTCACCTTACTTTTTGATCACACCTCGTATGTTACTCGTGTTTCTGTCCAGCCCCTCATGTTTTTCAGAGATTAAATGGATAATGTTATCATTACGAAGTTCTATAGAACTTTTCAGCATAAAGCAAACATTTTTTATTTTGGCATGGAACAAGGGGCATGGGGCATGGGGCATGGGAACGGGGGCACGCACGTCAATACAATAGTCGGTAACTGCCGGCGGGGGGCATGGGATCTGCACGTCGATACAAGAGTCGGTAATTGCCGGCGGGGTCCATGGGGTCTGCACGTCGGTACACAGTCGGTTGCAAACGATTCCCGTCAAGCAGATCGATATACGTCGGTCGATAAAGCAGCTCATAGATCGCCAATATGAGGATTTATAACGTTACCGATCGTCGGTAGAGTAGGCATCGAAAAATCGCATGGTAAGTGGCTCAGGATCCCCTTAGCCCCTACTACTAGTATCTAACTACTAATATCAGTTATGTATGCACAGTCGAGACTACAAATCAATTGGAGAAGCCACACTTCGTTATCTTGAACTTTCAAATACAACCAAAAAATGTGTAAGAAGCAAATACCAGCTAGTTTGATCATTGCAACATCACCCTACGCTAAACTCAATTTACAGTTCTACCTGTACGGCAATTTCAATGTCATAAATAGAAATCAATATGCAACTTTGTACGATATGTACGCGGACTTTCAGAATCCATACTATGGTAAAAACTGTGAAACGCTGCTGAAGAAATTACATTTTATTAATAATATGCTACTTATCGTTATCGATTCCTTAAAATAGAATGAATCACTAAAGAGTGCTCCAGTCGATGTGTGTTTAGAGGTTAAAACAAAAAAAACACATTTCTACAGGAACCGTGGTATTCTGTCTCATTTTATACGATCGTATCATTATTTTTAATTTCCTTATAGTATTTATTTTGCGTTTTAGCAATATAATGATACTACATAAGTTTTTCAAGCGAATTTATTACGGAATTGATAAATACTGAAGTATCGCTGGTCACATTTATTAACTTGCACCTGTACAAGCTTTATAACAAATCTGTTCGATGTAGCAATACGAAAATAGCAACTTTCCGTTGATTGTAGGTAAACAAATTTTTTCAATAAATCACCGTACAATATTACTCTTCCTCAAACTACTTATTATTTTGCATTAATGTTTTTAAGTTAAAACTTAAAATAAAATAAGAAATACTGTAAATTGTAGTTTGTAAGTGATTAAAAGAATATAAGATCTATTATAAAATAGTAGCTAATAAAAAACCCTTAAAATTTAATTTAAGATTTTGATGATACATGCACACAAGTAATGAAAATCAGCACTTCCAGCAAGAACACAATGTGAAGATTTCAGTAACAGAAATTTGGTAAATCCTATTTTTAATGAGTTTTCTTTTTCAACATTTAGGCTGCGGGGAATTTCCGTACAAACTGACTTCTTAGAATATGTAAAATGTATACATAATATTACTGGATATCTCAGATAGAGTCACTGATCTGACTGCTGGTCCATATATCAACCAGCCGCGCAGGTAACATAAAGTACAATGTAAAAAAATTTGTCTCTTTTGGTATGAAGATTTGAGAGGGTATTTATATGTAATTTGACGCATTGAATATAAAAAAAATAGTAACGAAATTCTCGCAGACACCCTTGACCTTGATAGTTACCATTTGAAAGTCCAATTTTATTCCTGCTATAAGTCAAATTTTTAGACGGTTTTAATATGTAGTTTGCTGTGCTGAATACGTAAAAAATAATAAAAAAATTCCTGTTGATGATCCTGATCTTGACAAGTTTTATTTCAAGTTCAAATAACATTTCTTGTATAAGCCGAGAAAAGGCTGTCGTACGGATTTTAATACGCTATAAAAAATCCCGCAGACACTCTTGTTATACCAAACGTCAATTTAGAAATCAAATTTCATTTCTACTACAAATCAAATTGCATAGGAAAACACTCTAAAATCTCCAATTCTACTAAAAATTAGATTTAACCTTGAGAATAAGTATTTCAAGATCAAGAATGTTTTGAGAAACTTAAAAACTACTTATTATGTATTCAGAATATAAAATATGATCTAAGAACTTCAAATATTCTATGTCTCTAGAGTGGCCCATATAGCGACCACCCTCGGAGCTAAAAAGTCAAAACATTCATAAAGTTCTTTAAATTTGATAAAATTAATTTTTTTATAACAACATCTTAGTTCCATTTTTATTGACTTTACATCTTTTTTACCAGGCAACTGTCATGAATTCTTTTCTCTTTCATAAAAATCTTTCATAAGTTGAGCAACTAAAATCTGATTTTTATTTTTTATTTGTATCTTCATTAATTTTGTTTGATTTATTTTTCATATAGTTATCGTTATCATATCTGCATAATTAAAAAAAAATAATAATACTTTGTGGCGGTAAACATCTTATTAGCGCTAACAGCCCAACCATGCGGTTGCCTGCGCGGGCAGCACCTACCGGTTGAGGCAAATGTAATGAGGGAATTCGGCACGCGACGGCACGGAACGCGCGAAACTAATCTCTCGTACTCTATAAGAAGCGTGCATGTATTAACCCGGCGAAGAAAGAGCGGCGAGCGATCCGACACAGCATGTTATTGTCGCGCGCGTGCTTTGTAAACATAAACACGCGGGCCGAATACATTGTAGAAATAAGAGGTAATAAACGATCTCGCATGTGATATTGACCGTAATTCTGATATTATTATTTCTCGCTAGTAGAAAATTGGTTGCCTGACACCCGTGCCTTCCTGCTCTCCGATTTTCGAATTTCAACGTTTAAGTAATCCCGCGCGCTCTTTGATGCGATCGCGCGTTTAATTAAATAGACGGATATCTACCCCGTTACAACTTATGTAATAATACAGTTAGGTGGGAAGTCAGAGTGAAATAAGTTGACACAACAAAAATAATTATCGTAAGAAATCGTTTTTATTCACTAATAACTCAAAAATCGTAAGAATCATAGAAAGTAAAAGTCATCCATAAGAACGGCTGCATAGCTGTGTATGCGTATGCGTCACCGTCTTTCCAGACTCGTGCGCGTAGACCGAACGGTTAGCGGCAGGCGGTGCTCACCATGATAAATGTGGGAAAGAAAAGAAGGAGACAATTAATTTATTTATAACGATTAGAAAAATATTGCGTGCATTTTTTTTTAACTATTTTTCATGTAAAATTTTCCGCTTTCTAAAAAAAATATAAAAATTGAATAAAAACTCGAGTAAAAGGGTTAAAAACATATTTTTAATATTTTTTTTAAGTTTTTGATTCTTTAAACTATTTCTGACGTAAAAACTAATATTTTTTCGAAATCTACGAGAAATTATTGAAATAAAAAAATAATTAGGAACAACAAACTTTATTAACATGGCACAGATCAATGTGTTGATGAAAATGGTGTTTTAGGGCTGAAAACGTCTATTTTTAATGATTATTTTGAGAGACGAAATTTGGAAAAAGATCTGAAAGGGCCGACAAGTTTCATGTAATCATGAAATATTCCATTTATGTTGATCTCAGACTCGAAAATTATTATTTTATATACGTGGCTATGTTATTATTAATTATTAGTTTGTATTATGTTATACTATATATATTTTATTTTTATATTTTATATGAATTCAAAAACAATAATTTTCTTATATTTTACGGACAAAATTTTATTTAAATCTATTTAAAAAAACATGAAATAGAAATTAGACGAAGGCGGCAACGTTAATTTAAAAATACACAGTGTCAGATCACATATGATTGAAGAGTGCTGATCTTAAAAAGCATGGGCTTCAGATTACATATGATCTAATGTACCCAGTAATCTGATGCCCCCTTGATAGAAAGTCTCTAGTTTATTTGCGTTCGACTACGATGCGCTTTAGATATATTTCTTCACCAGCAAAATAATTTCTTTAAATAAAAGATTTCTCAACTTACTGTAAAAATGTTATAAAATAATTTAGCCACTATCAAAGTATTTTCTAAATGGGCACGTAAATTTAAAAAATATGTCAGTAAATAACTAAAAAAGCAGTATTTCTATCTTAAAATTATAAGTACATAGTTTTCTGAAATCTTCCATCGTCCAAGACTATTTTTTATTATTATATACACTTTAGATTATGACGAAATAAATCCTCTGTTTAGATGAAATATGGGTCTATGTGTTAGATTAACTGAATTACGAAAGACTGATTTACAAAGGTATTTTAACGTAGAAAGTGAGTTTAGAGAACAGGTTCACACATAACTAACAAAAAAAAATGAAAAATGAACGTATTTCTTTTGAGTTGATCAAGTAAAAACTATTTAATGTTTTTTTTAGAAATATTGATGTTAGATTAAATCACGATACTATTACTAAAGATATTGATAAAAATTGTTTTTAATGAACACAACACTTACCCAACGGCATAGATTCGATCAATTTTACAGTTATCATTAATACTTTGTGCATATTTTAGCAATTGCTCACTTGCATAGCGGTATGTAAGTAAACTAGGCTTTCCGATTAATGATGTGTAGATTAAGTCATGTCCGGTTATTTTTTTATAAAGATTTTCTAAACAAAGTAAAAAGGAACCATGACCATATCTAGGTATGGGTGCTTCAGAAACCCAAATAAGATCCATATTACAAGCAATAACAAAAATGTGTGGATATGGTACAACTGGTAAAACATGTGAAGGCATTCCATTGGTCACTAATAAATCAACAATCAGCTGCAAGGATGTTTCCCAATTAACTGGTTCATTTAATAAAATAATACCGTCAATTTTTTTGAAATCGATTTCTTTTGGACCGTTAAAAGGATCTCGTTTATTCTTATCGATATAATCTAAACTAGGAAAATTATATACGAGTTCTTGCATAGTGATTATATTATTGAATCCAAGTTCCGAAACGATTTGTTTAACGTCACCTTGACCAGATACAAGTATTTTCTTACTATAATATTCACTATATTTACAAAGAGGTGAGTACGATAGAACTACTTGACTTTCATCAATATATACTCCAAGCCATCTTGATAAATCAGCTGCTTTTTCATGCTTGGTTGTATTACCACTATTAGTAACAAATACTGTGGGGATGCGAAGTTTCTTATCCGGTCCCATTAAACGTTGAAAGGTCTGAGGTACTGATTGAAGAACATTTTTGCCGCGAATGAGTACTCCATCAATATCAAATAGAAAACCAAAATTATGTTGACCACTTATGTTCTACATTGGAAAAAAATAATGGTATATTAGTCGGATTACTCACGAATAAATACGATAATACGAATAAAATTAGAAAAAAAATTGTTTGACGTCTTAAATCTAAATCATCGTTACTTATCAATATCTTTTTTAAAGGACAAGAATATGTTGTATCCAATGTAAAATATAATTTTCTTTAATATTCAAAAATTAAATATTTGTTGAAATTATAAAGGATAAATGCGGTTTTAAGAAATAGAATCACAAAATTAATCCATTATGATGGTGGACCGTAATTTTAATTTCATTTTTTATTTTAGTTTTCAAACAAAAAGAGAAATTTGAGCATCGGTGTTTGGAAAAGGAAGTCTCCAAGCCTGCAAGCAAAGATTGAGGACATACTTTAGATAGACACAATTCAAATCATATAAAAATGCATGATGTTTGGTTTGTGCCGTTGATAATTGTCCTCTCTGTTTCTCTTTCTCTTATTAGAGTAATTATTCATGTACGTATATGCGTGATTAACGCTAACTCTGCTCGATACTAAAGAGGAGAGCCGTAAAAATAATCAACATGTACCTTTTTCGTATTTGAGTTATTTTTAGTTTTTACTTTATAAACCTTCCAATGCTTAACATGGAAATAAAAATAAAATAAACGTTTTTAAATATTGAAAATTAATCTTATAAATACATTTTATATTATTTAATTATCTTTTATCAAGTTTTCGGTTCTAATCATAGATACAACATAAAAGATGGAAAATAATAAAATATATTTATAATTAAATATAGGAAATTCCATGATTTCTTTATTTTATTTTAAAAAAATTACTTAAGTTTATTCATTATGAAGCATTTGAAATTTATATTTAAAATGAAGGTTAACATCTCCTTTAACTAAGTTTGAACCAAAAAAAATACACGTAAATAACACAGGCCAACAAAATTTGACAAAGGTTCAGAACCAGAGACCAGACATAATATATTCGAAGGATTTTGATGCGCTGAATCCAAATTCGAGCTCAGAATTACGCCAGCACGTCAGGATTTTGAGATATCCTAACCTAAAAATGCGAAAATCACGTATTTTGGCTATATTCGGTACTTTATAACATTGCGAATAAATTTTTTCATGCAAAACTGACAACGGCATCTGAAAGAGAAACTCTTGACCTACAAAATGCACTACCGATTTTTGTTTTGATGTCTTTTGGTAATGTAGATATCGTCGTTTGAAATTTAACACCTATGAATTTGTTTATACTGCGACACACCAGAACGAGTGACCAGACATAGTACACCCGAAGGATTTTAATGCGCTGAATCCAAATCCGAGCTCAGAATTGCGCTATTACGTCAGGATTTTGAGATATCCTAACCTATAAGTGCGAAAATCAAGTTTTTTTTGCTATATACGGTACCTTATAACATTGCGAATAATTTTTTTCGTGCAAAATTGACAACGGCATCTAAAAAGCAATTCTTATCGTACAAAAGCACTAACAATCTTTAGTTTATGTCTTCTTTTATTGTCAATTGAAATGTACTACTTATCAATTGGTTTATACGGCAACGCAATGAATTTCGACTATTATAACTCAAATCCCTGAACTTGGAGCATTGTATCCTGCGGGGCAATAAACCTTGCCCACTTAACCCTAAATCCCTAAACCCCCGAGCCCTGTGACCTTCGATGTAATAATCCCCGTCCCCTTAACCCCAAATATTTTAACCCAAGAAGGTTATAACAAGCGCGGCAATAAAACCTGCCAACTTAACCCCGAATTTCTTCACCTCGGAATGCTGTAACCTGCGATACAATAGCCCTAGATTCCTTGTGGCGCAAATTACTGGGCTCAGGCATTAAGGAATTTGCGTAACGGCATCGAGGGTTATAACATCACAGGTTTCAGGGCTACAGGGTTAACGGATTTAAGGTTAAGGGGGCAGTTAAAGGTTAAGAGGTCGGGGATTTGGGTTAACAGATTTAGGATTATGGCAACGCAGATTATAGCCTTCTAGAATATCTCGGAATACTGACGTGCTGGCGCACTTCTAAGCTGGGATTTGGATTTAGCGCATTGAAATTCTTCGGATGCGTTATGTATAGTTTTTTGTTCTGAAGTTTGTCGGCCTGTGACAGACAGACAAATATTAGAATTAAAAATTTAAATAATTTGTTTAAATAAATTTATATGTACAAATCTGACATCAAACTCGTGACTAGTAACCCCCAAAACCATGGAAATGTGGTGCAGCTTGCAAAAATATTCTATTATACAGGAATTTGTTTAAAGAAATTTTTTAAATAAAATACATTTTGCAAATCTGATATCAGATTCATAACCAGAGACCTCAAAAATCAGCAAAAGTACGTGCAACTTGCAAAAACATTGAGTCTTGTAACATTTGTTTAAATAAATTGTTTAAATAAATTTAAATTCACAAATCTGACATCAAACTCGTAATCAGTGACCCCTATAACCATGGAAATTAGGTGCAACTTGCAAAAATATTCAATTTTCAGAAATTTGTTTAAACAAGTGGCTTAAATAAAACACATTTTGTAAATCTGATATCAGATTCATAACCAGCGACCTCAGAATTCAGCAAAAGTATGTGCAACTTGCAAAAACATTGAGTCTTGTAACATTTGTTTAAATAAATTGTTTAAATAAATCTAAATTCACAAATCTAACATCAAACTCGTAATCAGTGACCCCTAAAATCATGGAAATGAGGTGCAATTTGCAAAAATATTCAATTGTGCAAAAATTTGTTTAAACGAATTGCTTGAATAAAATAAGTTTTAAAAATCTGATATCCGATACGATCAGCGGAATCAAAAACCGTGAAATCTTTCATTCGTTTTTGAAATTCTGTAGATAGATGATGTAGAATATTACGTAACTTGAAATGTATGATTGTATGCTGAAGCTGAGATAGGTGAAAGCTGAGATAACTGATTTTGTGACATGCTAATCCTTCCGTATTAGAAATGACGTTTGAGTGGCGGGCTAACGGTTGAATTTCCTGTAAATGCTATTATCTTATTTTCTTCTACTTTATTTATTATAAGAATATTTATCATAAGAACATTTTTTATCCTCTTTGTTATTTATTATAAGAAAAATGAGTTCCAGAAGCCCTTGTCAAGAAAAATTGATACATTTTGTTATGTTTGTGGGAAGTTTGAAACAACTTCTTATCGACGAACGATTAATGATTCAATCAAAACTCTATATATGAAATGTTATAAGGTTCCGATCGACAATTTAGATAAGACATGGGTACCATCTTCAATTTGTAATTCTTGCACACCTGCTATGTTGAAGTGGGATGATAATAGCAGCAATATGACTGTTATTGAACCGACCATCTGGCGTGAGCCCCAGGACCATGACTGTTACTTCTGCTTATGTAATACAACAGGTTTCAATAAACAAAATTCAAATAAAATCATCTACCCTGCGGTAGCGAGTGTAACATCAGCCAAAGTAGGAAAAGTAAGTAAACCCGAAAAAGAAGTTGGTTGGGCAAAAGTTGAACCGATGGATATTGTACAACTGAAGATGTCTCTTTTGAAGATAGTTCTGATGACGAGAGTCCTAAGCTTTTTGACCAAAGTTCGTTAGATGATTTTATTCGAGACCTCAATCTTCTAAAGGATAAAGCTGAACTCTATGCTTCAAGACTCCAAGAAAGGAAGCTATTATTACCTGGAACAAAAGTATCAATTTACAGAAACCGAGAAGAGGCGTTCATAAAGTACTTTACAATGGAGGATGTGATGGTGTACTTTAATAACATCGATGAATTGGTTAACTCGTATATCCAAGATTTGTACAAGTCAGAAAACTGGCGTCTCTTCATTGATTCTTCCACACGAAGTCTCAAAGCTGTGTTACTACACATCGGAAATGAGTATGCGGCACTTCCTGTAGGTCACTCAACTGCACTAAAAGAATCATACAATAGTTTTCAATTTCTACTGGAAAAAATAAATTACAAGACTCATAATTGGCTTGTTTGTGGTGACTTGAAGATCATAAATCTTATAGTTGGCTTGCAGTCGGGAAATACCAAATTTCCGTGTTTCCTCTGCCTTTGGGACAGCCGTACAAGCGATAAGCATTGGGTAACAAAAAAATGGCCCACAAGATCAGAATGGAAAATAGGTTCTCATAATGTCGCCTATGTAGGTCTTGTTGATGAGAGAGAGTATTACTGCCATCACTTCACATCAAATTAGGTTTAATGAAACAGTTTGTGAAAGCCTTGAATAAAGAAGATAAATGTTTCAATCATTTGAAAGCCATATTTCCGAAATTGAGTTATGCAAAAATTAAGGAAGGCGATTTCGTTGGGCCTGATATATGAAAACTCATGAAAGATGATACATTTATCGAAACCATGACTCTCGTTGAAAAGAATGCTTGGTTGAGCTTCAAAGATGTTACAGAAAAATTTTTAGGCAATAATCGAGACCCGCAGTTTGAAACTATTGTGTCCAACATGTTACAGAATTTCCGAAAAATGGGTTGTCTAATGAGCCTTAAAATACACTTCCTTCATTCTCATTTAGACTATTTCCCAGAAAATCTTGGAGCATATAGTGAGGAGATGGGTGAACGATTTCACCAAGACTTTAAACAAAAGGAACAACACTACCAAGGAAGGTGGGACGAAAAAATGATGGCCGACTACTGCTGGTCATTGAAAAGGGATGATAATAACCCTACTAGTCACAAACGTAAATCTCTTCAACGATCGTTTGAAATGAAGCGCCAACGTTTTCACAAAAAGAAAGCATAACATCACAGAATTGGCGATTATAGGTTTAAGAATATACATTCTAAAGATTGTCAGCTTCTTAGTGTAACCTCTCTAACTACATTGGAGCTTAGGTTGAAATGCTATGGATTACAGTCCACTTAAATTAATTTGTCCTGTGCTTGACCCTCACTGTTCACTGCATTTAGTTTAACCTGTTGTGAGTTTAGCTCTCGCAGATCA